GCACACCGCGTCTCAGACGCTGAGCGCGCGCCCCGCGGCCCCGCTCACCACGTGCTTCAGCTTGGGCAGCCGGCGCTGCCAGCAGTTATAGAGCAGGCCCAGCACGATGATGACGACGCAGACGGCGCCGATGACCACCAGCACCACGAACAGCGTCCCGTAGTCGCTGCGCACCTGGCTGGCCCGGGCCTGGCAGCTGCTGGTGGTGGAGTAGTTCTGGATGCCGATCTGGGGGCGGGAGGGACCCACTTCCTAAGCTGAGGTCCGAGGGTGCCGGGGCTCCCCACAGGGCCTTGGGTTTGGAGCTCAGGGACAGGGAACAGGCCCGAAGAGGAGCTGGCACCAGCCCGACTCCGGAAGGAGTCAGAAGCCTGGCCCCCGGGCTCCTCGAGGACCCTGCCCCACCCCATCATCCCGTCTGAGGGCAGCTCCATTCCCAGCCTCCCTCGCATTCCCCGCTCCGGGGCTCGGCCCCACCCCCAGGCCCTGCTGGGCAGACGTGTAGCCCTGACCCCCCTACTGAGTGAGGCTGGTCCCATGCCAGCAGTCACAATCCAAACTCTCCCCATCAGTCTGAAGACAGGCAAGGGCAGCTGTGAGCCTCTCCACAGGCGGGGCCGCGCCGCTGCCCTCCCTCTCCCCCAAGTCTCCCCCCACAAGTCTACCCCCTGGAGTGCTCACTGACGTCATTCAGCGGCCCGGCACCCCTCCCACACTCAGGCCATCTTGGGTGGCCGGCCTTCTCCAGCCAAGTGGCTGCTCTGCCCCTACAGGCCGGGCAGACGCTCTCTCCAGTCAGCGTCTTGGGCAGAGGGGCACAGGGAAGGTGGGGTGCCTTCACCAGACCGCAGGTGTGGGGTGAGGGTGCTCCTGGTGCACAGACCTGGGAACCCCCCCCCCTTCTAAGGCCAGGTGTTAGCTCTTCCCTCTGTGAACCACCTGTGTACTTCCAGTGCTCTTCTCCATTCACTCAGTTACCAGGGGTCGGGTTTTGGCGCTGGGTTCACCCACCGATGCACACGCTAAGCCTGCCCAGTAGGAGGCCTGCAGACCCCACGAGCCTTTTGGCCAAGTCAGTCTGAGTGACATGTCCAGGGACAGCAGAACACCCAGGGGTGCACAAAGACCAGAGGGTCATAAAAAAGGTCAAGCCCAAGTTTCCACCAGCCCCCCGCAGCGTGCATGAACCCCAAACTCACAACCGGAACAGCCCCCACTGGCCACCTGGGTGGAGTGGACACGCGTCACAGCAAGCCTGGGCGCCCGCATCACCCCCACCCAGTCCAAAGCCCGGCTGTGCCGTCTGGGGCGAGTCACCCCTGCCCTGGGCTTCAGCCCCCACCTCAAATGCAGCCCCGCCAGCACTCAGCAGGGCAGGGGCTGCCAAGCGGGAGAACACAGTGCAGCCTGGCTCTGAGCACTCAGTATGCTTATCAAAAACCCCAAACCACTATGCAGGCCCCTCCCCGCCTTGCTGGGACGAGATAAGGAGGCAGGGAGCACAGTCACCGTGCCTCAGCTCTGCTGTCAAACACCACGACCCGGCCCTCGTGAACCCAGGGGATGGATGACAGGTCACTGGAGTCCACGAGGGTTCAAGGAGGCTGGGGGGCACAGCGGCTGTCCTCAACAAGGGACGGGGGAGTGTAGCTCAGCGGCAAGTGTGCTTAGCATCCACGAGGTCCTGCCTGGGTTCAATCCCCAGCACCTCCGTTAAAAAAAATTTTGTAAAAAAAATAATTTTTTAAAAAAAGGTGGAGGAGAACTGAAGTTTCTCCCCTTCAAGGAAGGTAGCTGTGGAGGAGAGGCTGGCCAGCCTGTCTCCTCAGCCCAGGTCCCTGGGCCAGCCGGCAGACTGCCTGGGTAACTCCCACCCACCGGGGGCCCCGAGTGGGCCAAGCCCCAGCAGGGAAGGCCTGGTGACACTTTCTCTTGTGGTTTTGGGAACGCCTTCCCCGCCCACCGGGCTTCGGCACCACCCTTGGCCAGATGCAGTGCTTCTCCACTGCTGACCCAGCGTCCACCTCCAAGGCCCGGTCTGCACCTGGCTGCGGAGCAACGACGTGTCCCCGCGAGCCATGCCTCACAGACCTGGAGATGGGAGCTGCCCAGAGCCGGAGCCTGCCTGCCCCTTCAAGCCGCGCCTGAGCGGCAGGCCTGTCGCTGCCCCAGAGCTCTGGGTGCGGGGTCTCCCTGTGCTCTTACCTCCACCAGGCTCCTGCGGATGTCACCCAGCATGGAAAGGACGTCTTGAGTGGGCACCACCCCTGGGGAGACACCACTGTCAGCACAGCCTCGGGCTCCTGACCTGTGGACCTCCGCCTGAGCTCCTGGGCCCCGCTGCCCGGCCCCTGAGCGCTCGCAGACCGTGCTCCCGCCACTTGACTTAGGAGAGAGGATGCAGCGGGCGCCCACTATGTCACCTAGGCCACTAGGTGACCCGTGCAGCACCAGGCGGCCGCTCCCCTGCCGCAGCCCCTCCCTGGCACACACCAAACTCAGGCCTCTCGTTCCCTCCCGGTCTAGTGTCTGCCCCCCTCCTCCAGAACCCAAACTTGTGGGGACTCCTGAACCCCAAACTAGAGCATCCCACCAGCACTCATCCTGCCATCTCGAGATCCATGACCGAGAGCCCTGTGGGCACCTGCCTGTGGCCTGAGGGGTACCTTTCCCCGCGCCCCTCAGAAGCTGCTGGATGAGCGAGCGCTGCCCCACTCACCCTGCTCGCCCACCAAGGTCATCAGAAGGTGCTGCTCCTTCTCACTGGGCTTGCTCAGGGAGATGTGCCAGTCCCCGTGGCGGCCACTGCCGTGGCGGGGCAGCACCTCCTCCACCAGGGCCAGGAGCTGCAGTCCCCGGTGCTGCCGGAACACCTCCTACAAGGGCAGAGGGAGAGCCCCACCCGGTGAGGGGTGGCGCCCGCCGACCTCTGCCCTGAGGCCGAGCCCCCACTCCCACCTGGGAACTTCCCTGGGAGCTCTGGGGACTCAGGAGAGACCGTAAGCTCGGCCTTCAGGGGAGCTGGGGACACCAAGATCCAAGTCCCCTTGTTCCCAGCAGGTGTCCAGGGCTCCTCCTGCCTTGGCCTCTCCCCATGAGGCGGGCACAGGGATGCTCACAGGTGAGCTGGGGTGAGGTGCACCCACCCGTGAGGACAAGGCCAGGAAGTGCGTGTGGTGTGTGGAGGACGTGGCGCCTTAGTGTCCACGTGTGTGGTGGGAGGGATGCGTGGGGGGGGGGACGCACAGAGTGCCCTGCAATACGGCCACCACACGGGAAGAGGCAGGAGGTAGCTCACCTCCGCCTGTCGCTGGAGAGACGCAGTCCATGGCTGGGGGGTCAAGAGAGAGATCTGAGCACTCTTGCGGTGCTGGGGCGACCAGGGAACCAGCCGAGAAGGCTAAGGTGGTAAAGCCCCCAGAAGCAGGGCCGGAGCAGGACAGGGGTGTAAGGAGGCTCGCTTCTCACCTGACATCTTCTGGCGCTTAGACTGTCTTCCCTTTCTACCTAGGTAATTACGTAATTTAAAACCAAAAACCAGGGGCTGGCACTGGACAGGAACTCAGCGCAGGGCCGGAGCCCAGGACCGTGCCTCTGGCTCACAGCCCGCCACTGTGCCTGCCTGGCATGTCTGGGAAGAGACCCTCCTCTGGCCTGGTGATGCCCTCCCCCCGAGCCCCGGTCTGTCTCCCTGGCAGTCAGTGCCCCGCTCCCACCTCCCACACTCCCAGCCGCTCAGCACTGTCTCTCCAGCGCCCGGCCAGAGGGGCGCCTCGCGAGGCCCAGGCATATCCCAGGCCACTCCTGTGGGATCCCCGACACTCCTGGTCTCCTTTCTGCTGGAGTCCAGGCTGATGAACATGCTGTCCCGCCCCCAGTGATGGAGGCTCCTCATTACCGCAGTGAGTGCCAGGCACGGGCTCTCAGAGGCTCTGGCACCACCGGCCCGAGAGAAAGCCAGCCCCACTCTGCGCCTGGCTGGAGTTGGCACCTGGAGACGGCCAAGCAGCTCAGGGAGCCCTAGCTCCTGAATCGTGCCCGTGCCCGTGCACGTGTGTGCGCCAGGGAGGCCCCTGGCCCGAGCAGGGAGCCAGCACGTGCCCCAGGGGCCCCAGTGCTCGTAAAAGAAACTGCCCCGACCCCTGCGCACCGCGCCTTCTCTGGGTCCGGATGTCTGCCTGGCTTAAGCCCCCAGACCCACGTCAGCTCCGAGAGGGTTGAGGACGTCTACCTCATACCACGTACTGTGCAGACGGGAACTGAGAGCCAGGGGCCTGAGGGAAAAGCCCTGGCTCTGGAACCCATCAGATCAATCTGGGTTCAGATCTCGGTTCCACCATTTATCAGCTCTGCGGCCTCCACCTCTCTGAGCCTCAATTTCCCCTCTGAAAAGGTGGGCTCTGGTCCTAACACCATGAGCACACTGGAGAATTAAAAAGCAGTGCTTCTTCAAGTGCAGGTGCCGGGTGGCCAGACATCCCGGCGGACAAGAGAGCAGGCCTGCAATGGCGGCCCACCGTGCGCAGCACAGGCGTCCTGGATGCGTCTCCGACCTGAAGCTCTCAGGAGCAGCACACACAGCCCCTGGAGGAGGCAGACACCTCTGAAGTGGACCCCAAACCACTAACCATGAAGGAAAATACTGGTAAGGTGGACTATTGTGTGATCAAGGTTAAAAAGTTAAGAACTTCCATTCACCAGAGGGGACCACACTGAGAGAGAGAAAAGGCAGCCCACAGAGAAGAAGGTGTTTACGGTTACATCCTTGACACGGGTCTCACGCCAGGACGTGGAACTGACTCCCAGACATCAGTCTGAAAAACGGTCAGAAACCCAGCAGATAAACGGGCAAAAGACGTGACCGGGCACGTCACAGAGAGGAGGAGACCCCACCAGCCAGAACACGCGAGGGGCCACTCGCCTTCCCTCACCATCAGGGAGACCCCGACGCAACCCACACCCCCTGCAGAACGGCTGCGATGAAGAGCCAGGCGGCGGGCGGCAGGGGCGCGCAGCCGCTCTGGGAAGTTGCTGGAGAGGCTCGACCGCGGTGAGGTGTGCCTACACTGTGACCCTCAGGGCCACCCGCCAGAGGACACGTGCACCAACACCCACAGCAGCAGATTCACAGTGGCCAGGACTGGAAGCTCCCAGGGGCCCACCGACCGGCGAGCGGGTACAGGACGAGAGCGAACACCTCGGCCACAGGCAGCAATACAGGCGAACTTGAAAACGGTGCCAAAGGGCAAAAAGCCAGACACAGGACGGCACAGCCCGAAGGACCCCATGGCCTGGAGTCCGGGAGTGTGCCCAATGCAGGAATGCTCACACGTCAGCAGAGTGGCTGCCCTGAGGAGAGCCCGGGCGAGCTTAGCACCAGGAAGCAGGGGGACCCCCGGGCACTAAGAGGTTGGTCCAAAGACTCAACTCAAAGAGGCCCTCACCAGCCAGAGACAGAGCTGCCACCAGGTGCACCGCCCGCTTCCCGGGCTACAAGGACCAAGCCCGCAGCCACTGTGGCCGCAGGGCTGCAGGGACGGTCTGGAAGAAGTCAGGGTGAGGCGACTCGAAACGAAAGCCACCTTCAACAGCTCCCGCCTGCTGCACTGGCCGCCCACAGAGACCACCAGGACCATTGACTGAGACACCTGAGCCTGCGGTGACCGCCTGCGCCCCTCCCCAGAACTCAGGTGCATCCTGGCCCCGCCCCACCTCCTCGGAGCAGCTCCTCGGAGCCATTGGAGGCGGCTCCCAAGCTGCGCCCCAGTAAGATACTGGATAGACCACACACGGCCCTTGCGTTGCGTGTTTTTCCCAGTCGACGGGGCATCTGCGCATCAGTAGGATCGACAGCTGCCACAGCTAGACCGGACGGTTATGCTGAAGCCGGCCGTCCATCAGGGTGCCAGGACCAAGACGACACCTCACCGGCCACTTCTGGGCAAACACGCACACTCACTTTCACTTTTCCCCCAAACACACTAAGCAAAAATAAAGCTTTTTTTCTAAGGTCTAAAACCACAAAGACAAAACCAAAACAGAACATCCCTGGAGACCAGAGCAGCAGCACGTGGGCAGTGGAAGCGGGTGGGCGAGTGAGCGAGCCCCGAGGAGCCGAACCCTGAGCCCAAACGGGGAAGCTGGGGGGCAGGCGGACGTGCACCATCCAGCTCCCGAAACGCTCTGGGCAGCAGCACGGTTACCTTTGGAAGACAGGACGGAAGCGGCAGCAAGAACAGGAAAACCGTGGAAGCCCGTGTAAGACGCACAGGACCCCTAGCCCCTCCCTGCTGCACGGGGCAGTCTGCTCTCCAGAGAGGGTGAAACGGGGGTCTCTGGCCTCGAACACCAGACACCCCGGTGGGAGGGCCCACGCCGCGCACAGGAGCAGTAAATGAATTCGTCTCCGCACAAGGTTCTAACACAGACACAACCGTGTCCCCATCGGGCTCCCAGAACACCGGCAACAGCCCCATGTCCTCCCAGGAGGACAGAGCTCCTTTTTCAAAGACTCTAATCACCCAGGAGGAAGGAGCTAAGATCCCAACACCAGAAATTTTCAAACGAAATGGCCCAGTCAGACCACCCTTATGAGAAGCCAGTCAACCCCACCCCCAAGCTCACAGCCGCCGGCCAGCTCTTGACGGCCTTCCCCAGACGTGTGTGGAAAACTGAGGCCAAGACAAACACATGGCGAAAGCAACTCTTTAAAAAACAACAGCACGCACACAGCAAACCATCCCTTAAAGTCAAAACGGAAAAGCGGCAAGAACAAAGAGCCTTAGAGTTAAAAACACGAGAGCTCTCTTCCCCCGAGCCCCCTGCCCGCCAGGCCGCACTCACGCAGTCCACGTTCTCCGTCATGTTCAGGACGACGTAGTTCCTCCCGGCCAGGTTGCTCCAGTCTTTGCAGATCACCTGTGCAGAGACCAGAAGCGTGACAGTTCAGGGGCTTGTGGAGAGGCACCGGGGGGGTGCGTGGACGGAAGCCCCTCAAGGAGCGAGAAGGTGAACGCCAGGTGCGGCTGCGACAGCCGGGGGCAGGGGCCGCCTTTGCAGGGGGACACACCGGGACTGGCCCAGGCTCACAAGCCAGGCATCTCGAGGGGGTTGGCCAGGACAGCCACACAGGAGGTGGAGGCGAGTCGGAGGGCCTGGCTCGGGGGGCCGCCCAGGGGCCTTTGAAGGCAAACTTTGCCACCCTCTGGAGGCTGAAGGAAAACCTGCTGGTGGGCCGGACACACAGGCAAACACGGGGACCCCTCTCCCCCGGTGTCAGGGTCAGGGTGAGGAGGGAGCACCACACCCGGCGGAGGGCATGGAGACAGGGCTGCAGAGCAGGGCTGGACACCCGAACCAGCAGAAACCCCGTGCGGCACTGAGGCTTCCGAGGCCTTTTACTGTGCATGCACGTGCAGCGAGGACACCCCTGCTGCGCCCAGGGTTCTGCCAGGCTGGACACGTGCAGCCCCCGGGCACCTTCACTTCACCTGTGTGGAGTCCCAGGGTGTTCCGGACGGGGCTGCGGCACCAGCGGCCTGCCCTTCCTGGGGCGGCGGGCCAAGGTCTTCTCGCTCCCAGGGAGCAGAGGAAGGTGTCAGCTCCATGTCTCGAGGGCCCAGCGGGACCGCGGCTGAGACTCCGGGCTGCTGGGCACCTTCATCCGGGGCCTCAGCCCCGCCAGGCATACCCGGCTGCGGGAACAAGGCCGGGGATGGAGCCTCCCCGGGCTGCCCAGCCAAGCTGGCTGCTCCCAGAGCAGCCTCCTCGCTGGCCTCCTGAGGGGCCTCCAAATCTACCCCGTGCCCTGCGGCCGGCAGCGTGGTGTCCCCTGCCCCCTGGCTGGCCTCGTCCTGACCCCCCAGGGTCGCTGGCCTTGGGGTGACTGCGGGCAGGGACAGGCCCGGGTCCACGCTGACCCCCACCTCCATGGCAGAGGCGGCCTGGGCCCCAGACTCTTGGTGCCGAAGTGCGGGGGCCCCTGCGGGCTGGCTGCCACTTGGGGGAGGAGAGCCGTGGGCCGGACGCTGGGCTGCTTCTTGGGATCTGGTCACAGGCAGCAGCCCCTCCTCTTCCTCCTCCTCGTTCTCCTCTCCGGGGCCCATGTGCCAAGGGGGCTCCGCCAGGTTCATCTTGGGCAAGGGGGAGGGGGACCGCGGTGCCTCCTGTGCCTGGCTGGTGTCCTCCACGGGACCCGCCTTCTCAGTCAGGTCCGGAAAAACGTAATCTACGGACAGAGACGGGAGGTTCAGTGTCTGCTGATCTGCCGAGTGTCTGCTGAGCAAATGCCACCGATGAGCCACAGGCCCCTGGGGGCATCGGGAGGCACACTGCTGGCTGTGCTGGAGACGGGCGGGAGGTAAGGCTGGAAGGGGGCACAGACAGGGGTGACAAGGGCCAGGCGGATCCTCATTTCCTTCATGGGAATATCAGGACACACGGCTGCCACTAAAGTCCCATGAACGTGGGAAGGGACGAGTCTGCACGCCCCTCAGAGGTGGCCCCTGAACAGCTGGGCACAGCCTCTGTCGCCCCTCGTCTGGGGTCTCACCTGGAAGACCCCATCACAACCCCGCCTCCCTCCTCTGACAGGTGGGGGGCCTTCCAGGCAAAACCCTCAGTGAGGGCTGAGACCCCTCTGACCACAGACCACGACCACTGTCCCTGACCGCTCTCATCCCGAGAGTCAGGCCCTCACTGGGGAACGAGAGACGCGAGGAGAGCAGAGGGCCAGGCCTGAGCCCACCGGCTGCTGCCGCAGCCGCCCAACACACGGGGGGCCACTGCCGGCAGCCGAGGGGACTCCCACTCTCCCTGCTGTCCCCGGGAGTGACCCTGTGAAGCAGGGAAGTCAGGAGCCCTCTGGAGACAGGACATCTTCTGGCTTCTCAACGAGCCCCAAGCCCCTTCAGGATAATGACACGTGAAGACCATCGACCAGTTTTGCTGGAAATTCATTCAAAGTGTCACCTTCTGTATCTGGGTAACAAACCTTACTGGCGGTCGTTTTGTTTCAAAATAATAAATGTCAAAGACACTCTTGAAGTAACGCTCAGAGACGAGAAGGGCGGCTGTGGTTTAAGCAGGAAAATGGGGCTTACTCACCCTCCTCTTCCTCCACCTCCTCGCAAATTTCTATCATTGGACAGATTACTTTTTCACTGTCGAAATCACAGTCTAAAAAATCTAGATAAATTTCTGGGAACACGAAAGGAGGTGAGACCAGAGGATCAGATAACCCCTCTGCCGAAACAAGCACTGGACAAGGGTGCGGTGGAGCGGGGGCTCCCGGGCCCACAGAAGCGAGGAGGGAGGGCGTGGGATGAGCAGGGACGCAGAGCAGCAGACTCAGGGAGCAGAAGGTGACTGCTGAATTCAAACCGGTGTCCTCACTGTGTGCCGGCAGTGAGAGCAGGCCAATAAGAAAATCACATCTTCTTTACAGAGAAAAAGCTCTTAGAAATGGAAACTCAACTGTTCAAACGTAAACATTCGATAGAAGAGTTGAAGGAAAGTCCAAAGAAAATCATCAGAGCAAAAGGAAAGAAAACGTGAGCGATACGGCCGACCGATGCCGGAGACCTGTCACCCAGCGGGCGTGCGTCTCAGAAAGACAGAACCAGCAAAACAGACAGCAAACAGCCCGACAGACTTCCCAGCCCGGCAGCATGAACCCGCACGATGAAGGGAACGTAACAGAGATGGACGCCTCACACCTGGCCCCGCGCTCACGGCACGCCGGCTCTCAGAGAACAAGCAGGCCACCTACAAAGGAACGAGAGAAAGACGCTCAAGTTATCATCAGGCTTCTAGCCAGGCAACTGGACGGCAGGAAGGGACTGAAAAGTGTGTCTGAAATTTGAGGGAAGCCTATTCTGAACTTGGAATTTTATACCCAACTCAACTGTCGTTCAAGTATGAGTACAAAATAAAGATATTTTCATATACACAAGGACTTAAAGGTTTTTACTATCCAGGGATTCCAAGAGAATTATTTAAGGAAGGCCTCCAAGAAATCCAAAAAGACAAGAAACATGAGAGAAATGTCATGAAAATAAACCTCAGGACGGAAGCTGTGCACAGGCCTAGAGCAATCGTCCAAGTTAGAATGAGGGTCCAGAGGACGCTGAGAGTCACTGCTTCCTGTGAGAAAAAGCACGGGGTTTGGAAGCTGACTGGTCGCTGAAGGCCCACTGTAACGTTCAAGCGCGCAGGGAGACCGCCCGCCCCAGCGTGCGGACGGCACCCCCCTGAGCAGCAGGGCCTCCGTAACCGAAGCCCCGCTCCCCGCCCCTGCGCTCTCTGTAGGGAGCTGGCCGGCTCCCCACGCAGGGCGGCCCATGCCGGGTGCGGCCACTGTGGACCAGTGAGCACAGACCACTAGGGAGACCCACGCCAGCCCCCAGAACGGAGCGACCCAGGACCACCTTTACACACAGGGAAGAACCACGGAGACACATGGACACTTGAGGAGAGCCGGGCTCCGGAAGAAGCATGAGGCCGAGACAGCCCAGCAACTGGCCTTGGGGAGAAGCGTCAGTCCAGGACAGAGACGGGACTCCGAGGAACCAGTCGCTGATGTCCTCAGAGGGCCAAGAGACAATTACACCCATGAAACGAGGACACGGAAGAGTAAAGCCACTTCACTTCAGTGTCCTAAGAACTTGATAACACACCTGCTTAAAGCTGAAAGGCAGAGCACCAAACGCTACGCCACAGAACGTACGAAACCCTCCCTCCTGGAGGGCCTGCCTGACAGCCACGTGCAAGGAGCACACGGAGGGTGCGACGAGTGGAAGGAGAGGGCTGGGGCTGTCACACTGTTCAGGAGAGAGAGGCAGGGGGACAGTGCTGGAGGTGATGAGAGGGAGCGGTTCTGACAGCGTGACTGGCCAGCAGGAAGGTGTCGGCACTGCGGCCAAGCTGGGAGCAGCCGTGCCAGGACCAGACACGGTCAAGTCCAGAGGGCAAGCGCACCGGAAGTGGCCAACAGCTCAGGCGGAGGCTGGACTGGGGCTGGATGGTGACACCAGGACCGGCAGAGTCCCGCTGGGGGGGGGAGCCCAGGGCAAGCTGACCAAACGTCCCCTCCACTCAGTCTGACACCGACTGTCCAAGCCTGGTGTCTCTACCACCCTCCTGTGAGATGGTGGGAACAGCGGTCATGCTGTTGGTGACACAACCTGGGAGCCGGGGGCCTGCCACCAACTTGCATGTCCAAGCAACGGCAAGACCCTTGGCTGCTCCAGGCTTCAGGTTTCCCTACGACAAGTGAGGAAGCTGATTTGAAAGATTTCAACAGTTCTTTCTAGCACATGGTCTAAGCTTTGCAGATGGTTTTAATAAATGTCTGGTACAAACAGCGTCAAACACAACAACATGACCATCCTAAGCAAGAATAAACCTGGATTCCTCAGGCTACAAGCTCCTGAGAACAAGCAGGGCGATTCTCTCCACCTCTGCCCAGGGCCGGGCGGAGGGGAAAAGAGGGCGAGGCCTGCTTGTTGAGCCCTGCGCCCTGCTCCTGCCTCCTGCAGGGCCCAGGACCGCCCCCTCCTGTCTCCCTGTGTGACCACCTCCCCCGTCAGCCCTTGACTCGCGCTGCTGCACTTCCTTCGCAGGGAGCTCACTGTGTCCAAAGACTTGATCCACTGCCCCCACACCAAAGGCTCCCAAACTGACACCCCCACCAGGTGCGACTCTGGGGACGTGACAAACCGCTCCCTGATGCTCCCTGTGCTCGGGAGCAGCAGAACTCCGTCTTCCTGCTTCGCTGCCACCTCTCAGCCTCCAAAACTAGTCCTTGGCCATGGTACGTAACCTCCACGTGTCTCCCATCCTCACCTGCAGTAACAACGCTCTGGGCACACTGGGCTGCGGTCAGGAGCCGGCGAGAGGGAGCCTGCGCACAGCCCACACTGCGAACGCTCCATTACTGTGAGCTCCCCCTCCCCTCCTCCATCACTAACATTAAAGGAATTTTCACATTGTTAAATCATAACAGGACAAGGGCCCACTGTAGCGCACAGGGGACTACGTTCAGTATCTTGAAGTAACCTGTTATGGAAAAGAATCTGAAAACAAATATATGTATGTGTATGTATGATTGAAACTTTATGCTGTGCACCAGAAACTGAAACACTGTAAACTGGCTATCCTTCTATTAAAAAAAATCATACTGGGAAAGTAGCACCACTGGGAAGTGTGCCCCACAGGAGGAGGAGCCAGCGTCCGGGAAAGAGGGCCGGGCCAGAAGGGCCGGATCACCTACTGACAAGTCGAGATGCGATCTGACACCAGAAATGCCTCTCACACCAGAAACCAGAATCTCATGGGCAGCCCACCAGGGGCAAGACCACCGACCACAGGTCGAGACACGAGCAGCTGTGGGGCAGACCCCGGGGGGACGACAGCAGGGTCCCAGGACAGTGGGCAGTGGGCCTGGTCCAAATATGAATGCAGACTAACAGGTAGAGAAAGCACGCTCAGTCCAGGGCGATCACGGTCTGTGAGGAAGATACCACAAGTGTAGGGCATTCCTGCCAAAGACGTAGAACCTGAGTCTCATTAAGAAGAAACACCAGGCAAACCAAAAATGAGAAGCATTCTACAAAATAACGGGCCTGTCTCCTTCCAAAGCATCAAGATTGTGAAGACAAAGACAGACTGGAGAGTCTTCCAGAACAGGAGACACGTGGCAGCTAAACGCAGTACACGACCCTGCACTGGACAGTGCACTGGAAAAAAGGTTCTTTTTCTGTTGCCCGTTAAGGACATTGCTGGGAAAACTGGCAAAGTTTGAATAAATTTATATTTAGGTAACAGCATTGCACCCACAGCAACGTCCTGATTTTATTCTCTGCACTGTGTTTAGTAAGAGAATGTCTTTTTTCTTAAGAAATACACTGGGCAGCGGGGCCAGAGCTCAGTGGCAGAGCGTGTACGAAGTCCTGGGTTCAACCCCTCCAGTACCTCCACTGACACAAAAATTTTTTTAAAATTTTTTTAAAAAAGAAATACACTGAAGTATTTAAGGGTCAAGGGGAATTCTGTCCAACCATCACATGGTTTAGAGAAAACTCTGTCTGGGTGTCTAACGGTGACATGGCAAAATGTGAACAGTGGGAAATCGGAGTGAAGCATACGTGGTAAGTACTCTTGCAAGTTTTCTGTAATTTGAAACTTTTAAAAACTAAGGAGTTAGAATCAGTTTAACTACTGGCTAGG